TTTTTTTTCAAAAGGGGGTTTTTTTTTTTGTGTGTGTGTGTGTGTGTGTGTGTGTGTGTTTCATAAGTGTGTGTACATATGCATGTGTGCACATGCGTATGTGGATGTATTTATATGATATTATATATATTATATAACTTTTCTTAATACAAAAAGCTGTATAATTACAACACTTCTGCAGCCTTTATACCTTCTTAAGCAGGTGGACATACTTGTATGTGACACTTGTTGGAAGCCAGGAGCAGAAAAAAAAAGAGAAGGGTCTTCTTCTTTGGCTAGTTGAGTTTTGAAAATAGATGGTTTAGGAGCTATTAGCTTCACTGTGTAGCCCATAAGAGAGAAAGTTTTTCTGAATGTATGTGAGGCTGAGATGAGTCATATAAAGGAGAGTTCCATATCTCCTGTTGTTTCCCAGTGTGGATTGGGAAAATCAGATTAGATGTGTTCTGTCAGTGTCACTCATGCAAGCACTTCTTCTATTGCAGGTTAAGGGGAAAATGGCTGAAGGTTTTACACCAGGTTTCTTCATAGAAGAACTTAACAAGTACCATCAGAGATCTGGAGTAACACTTAAGTATAATGAGCTGCCTGTTTCAGGACCTCCACATGAAAGAACGTAAGTTACCATCAGAAAAGGTGTGAGTGGAGACTGAGGACATGGGTCACTGGGTACAAATTCTTGCTGGGCAAATGTGAGGATCTGAGTTCAAATCTCTAGCATCTATATAAAAAGTCAAGCATGGCTGAACATGTGTCTGTAAACCCTACGCAGTAGGGTGCAGAGACAGGAGGGTAATAGAGCAGAGCGTAATAGAGCAGGATGCCTGATGTCGCAAGCCGGGACTCTGTCCAGCAGAGTCCAGGAAAGACGACACAGACACCAAGGTGAGGTTCAAGCTTCTATTTCTCTTTCTTCCTTTATTCTCTCTTATTCTCTGTCATATTCTCTTCACTATGATGCTGTCTCCTACCTCTGTCTGTCTCTCTGTCTCCTCTGTCTGTCTCTGTCCTTATGATGCTGTGTTCCCCATGATGCTGTCTCCTACCTCTGTCTGTCTCTCTGTCTCCTCTGTCTGTCTCTGTCCTTATGATGCTGTGTTCCCCCTATTACACACTTCAGCTCTTTATATAGCGTTTCCAACAGCCCTCCCCCCAGCCGGTACCAATCAGGGCTCACACACGTGCAGCGGCCAGGCAGAGTGTAGCTCATAGGCACGTAGCAAGATCATCAGGCTGGCAGCACCTGTTTTGGGGCTCACCATACTTCAGAGTTGGGGTAAAAAAGCGGGATTCACGAGCCTTGGCAATCAGCCAAGAGTTGAAGTAAACAGCACGAGGTTTGGCAGCCAGCCAGGGC